CGTGAATAGACACAGGAGACACGATCTCGAGCCTCTCTTGTTTTCAACTTAACTATCCTTCTAGTACAAGGCAGTTCGTAAGCTTCCATTTACATATCAGGAACGAGGACCGATTATCCAACGCGTCGTCACCTGCTACCAATACTTATGCATCCTACCGGTTTCTTTCCTCCTCGTTTTTTCTTCTCCTTTGAAGGCAGTCACGTTCCTCTCGATAATTAAGCGTTTCTTTTCCACCCCTTTTTCCTCCGCGATCGGGGTCACGTGCATGGATAATCGGCGCGCGTTGTTAGTTAAGTTTATCGTGTTAAGTAGCTTCGGAAAAACGAGGGCCAGTGTCGTTCGCGAAGATTGGACCGGAGCAGCTTCGATACCCGGAGAGATAGAGAGCGAGACGAGTGTGTGTGTGTATGAGAGAGAGAGAGAGAGAGAGGAATAAAGAGACGCGAAGAGAGAGAGAGAGAGTGAGATCGAAAGCAACAACGGGAAGATCCTAAACTCGCTGACTCGTGTAAGATACGGCGGATCGGATCGACCTTTCGCACTTTGTCACTTTTAAGTTTATCGATCTACAAGTGTGCTCACGTGGACGTAACGCTTGTCATATCCGTGCGTCGATCGACGGACGATTTCGTGAGTGGCTTTGTCGCGCGTTTAGCACGGGAGAAGAAAGAAAAGGCGATGATCACACGGAAAACAGTGCCATTCCTATACAGATGTCAGTCGACAACCGGAGAATAGATACAAGGGACAGAGAAGATAGCTGGAACGAGAATCGTTCTCTCCCCAACCAACCAACCCCTCCCTCGTCGAAACGAATCGAGAATTCTACGTGTACCGTGTTCGATTCTAATTGCGTTTCTCATTGTGCTTGTAACACAATAAAAGATATTACCTGACACTTGTTGACAATACGAAATAACGAACGAATCGAATAATATATGGGAAAGAAACTATATCTGAAATTACTTTTAAGCGTGACGAAGAAGAGAGAGAGAGTATCTGCGAGTGAGAATGAGAAAAAGAGAGAGAATCTTATCCTATAGAAAAACGTCCT